GGCAACTCCAGAACCATATACAAAGCAGAGAAGCCACTGGTTTTCTTAGCCAAACATTTAAAGGTTAACTCCTGACGGTTTGATTTGAAAGGATTTTCACGTCTGAGTTACACAGTTCTGTATGTGGGATTTCTTTACAATGAGCATGTTACTCTTGTGGTCAGGAAACAGATAATTACTATACTAGATTCTGTAAATGGCAGTGCTGAGCCGAAACTAAGAATTTAGCCAACTGAATCGAGAGGTGCTTAATCACGGTGGCTCCAAGTTACTCCCACTGGCTTACAGCCGCCCTTGGCCCCGCGTCATGTAAAACGAATGCGCTGATAACACCAGAGAATGAGACCTCCTTGGGGACAGACTGCCCGATGACAAGCGCTGCTGATGCCCATCACCCCTAGTATCCACTCGAGAGACACGGTGAGAGGACGTCAGTCACAGCACCACCTGACACAGTCTCCTGGCCAATACTGGCACCTACTGGGATCTTCCATCCTAACATTCACAGAAACATCCAGCCATGAAGCAAGCCCCTGGCTGTGGAGTCGACTTCCACTCACACAGACCCGTAAGACAGAGGAGAACCGCCCCACAGGGCTTCCAACACTTTGTTTTCATAACGTTTATGAAAGCAGACTGCCTCATCTTTCTCCCACAGAGCAGCTGCTGAGTTCAAACCGCTGACCTTTTGTTTAGCACCTGAATGCTTTAACCTCTGTGCTACTAAAGAAGCACCTTCTGTGAAGATTAACAACAACAACAACAAAAAAAAAAACGCAAAACTCACTGCCAACAAGTCAATTCCAACTCACAGTAAATCCCCACTGGGTTTCTGAGGTGGTAAGTCTTTACAAAAGTAGATTGCCCAGTCTTGAGATTACATCCTAGGAAGTCCTATGGTATAGAAATTTTAGAGTACACAGAGGGAAAGCCACAGCATCAAGACTAAACATAGGGCAGTAAGGCCAAGAAGGTCAGGGAATAAAACACACTGCTGTCCAGTCAATTCTGACCCACAGCGCCCCTAGAGGACAGAGTGGAACTGCCCACAGGGTCTCCAAGGCTGTCA